TATTTGCTTGATTGCCTACACTATTTCTCGGACTGAGGACTCGTATAGAAGTCTAACATCGTGGTTAACGACACAAGGTTAATATGTATCATACAAAACGGACATCGGTTCTTTCGTGGTTCTCTCTCGTAATAATAACTAGCGAGTTACCAGTTAACGGGCATAGTGTCTAGAGTTTATTTATAGTATTTAACACTACAAAAGGTGTGATATCACCCAAAAAACTTACCTATTTAAAAAAAAGGTAAGAAATGCACCAAGTATAAGCTCCAATGTTACTCTAACTCTTCTGCAAAAGTATCTTCTCTACAAAAATATCTTTCCTGCAAAAGTATCTTCTTTACAAAAATATCTTTCCTGCAAAAGTATCTTCTTTACAAAAATATTTTTATAAAAATATCTTTTCAAAAATACCTTTTCAAAAATATTGTCTCTACAAAAATCTTCTCTACAAAACTATCTTCTCTACAAAATTAATGATATCATCAACAAATTACGCCAAATATAACAATGGATATTTATACAGGGTGTGTCCTAATACCCGTATGTCCCGTAGATGGTAGATAGACCGTGGCAAACTGAATAGAAAAGTCCTATACCATTTTGCAAAATTCGCAATAGTTATCGAGAAATTAATTTTAATGTCTGAGCGAATAAGAGCGTAGAAGGCGGCAGGCCGGACTCGGCAGGCAACGGTGGGGCATCATCTAATAGCGAGAGGTGGAGCGGCGCGCCGAAAAAAAAATGTCAAAAAAGCTTGCCGCTCGCTGCTATACCGTAATCATTCTGTAAATACATCTCATTCGGGCAATAACGTATCGACAGCACCGATGAAAAGAATAGCAGCTGTTTAGAAATTTAGAAACTCTGTATCTATTCAGGCGAATTAAGACCTGTGTCCATGATGCTAGTACTTGGTCCAAGTTCTAATTCCGCGAAATATGTAGCCAATCAATATAGCTGTTCCACAAAAGCTGCAAGTTGATTGGCTACGCATTTCTCAAACTAGAACTTGGACCTGTACATGGTGTCTTTAATGCCTACCCATCTAAAGTTGCACGCAGATCGAGGTGTGTTCGAAAAACGTGCAACTTTTTAACACTTTGTTCATCTTGACTGTGGAAACGGCGAATCAGCATTGCTATTTCCACGTAATGCATGAAATATAGAATATAAATATAGAATAGAAATTCATAATGCATAAAAATATAGAAAAACGTACGCTTTTCAAACATGCCTTGATCTGCATGCAACTTCAGATGGAGAGGCATGCAGATCAATGACGCGTGTGTAAAGAGCATTGCACGGAACCTGACCATAGCACGAAACGGGACCAAAATTTTACATATCTGCGTTACACACGTGATAAAATGTGAATATTGACTATATGGTTCATGTCTACGTTTTCCAATATCCACAGAGGGTTTATCGCATTTGAGAATTACCTACAACTGGGCTATAGCAGCTGTCAGGTTTCTCTCTGCTGACACATCCACCCATACCAGTTGAGCTTCCTAATCTCTAGTCTTCCATTTCCTGACCTCTACAATCTCTCCGCTAGTATAGTAGTATAAAGTAGACAGACTATCAACACGAGCCGACAGTCACAGAAGAACTTTTAGATCTAGGTGACGTTGGAAACTAACTCAGTCCTAATTTGCTACACCTCTACAACAACAACAACAACTACTACTACTACTACTACTACTACTACGACTACTACTACTACTATTACTACTACTCTACTATTACTACTACTACTTACCCTATTGTTATCTATGCGACATTAATTCTTACCTGTGAATGTGATGGATGTGTTTGGCAACTAGCATATGTGTCCGAACTATCAATGCTTCCTTGTTCGTTATACGACTTTGTATAATTGTACCCCTGCTCATTGTATATTTTCGTAAAACTTAATATTTCCGATGGCTGAATATCTGAAGGAGATAACTTCGATTCCACGAGTGATGAACCTAAATGTTCTGCACCGCTTCCGCCATTACCACCGCTATTACTGAATCTAAGGAACCTCATTTCTTGACACACTGGATTACGAAAGTCGCTGGTTGCAAGAGGCATTATGTTCTCTGCATCCATGAAGTCTTTGTACTCCTAAAAATACAAAGTATTAATGAAAATTCTTAACTATATCAGAAATGAAAATGTAGAGAATGTACGCTGTAACCTAAATTTATTACAGCTTTGTCTAGGTACCGACTTCATTATCGAATCTCTTTAAAGTATTTATGTCTCTATAAATTTTGAAATTTTTTTGAGACATTTAAAGTCTATTCCATCAACCTTGTTTTTCAGACAACACAAATGTCTAATAAATAGACCATTTTAAAAATATAGATGTGTTAACTGTTTATGTCTTAAACTTTATTGTTAACATTAATTCAAATTCAAAGTTTTCTTTCTGTTTAAAGTATAGATAGAAGCATAATACACATATACAGAATGTTCCTTTTTAACTAAATCACCCAGAAGGTAGATAGAGCAGAGAAAACTGAGTAGTGTCCCTTGTCCTACGTTTATCGGATCATAGGAGATGTAAACAAGTAAACCATTTTGCATGCCTGCCGAGTCGGGGCTACCGCTACTCATGCTCTCATTTGCTCAGATGCTTTGGTTTATTACTCAAAAACCATTGCAAATTTTACGAAATTGTATAAAACTTTTCCATCTAACTACACCACTCTATCTACATTGTACGGGTGATTGGTTAAAATGGGATATTCTATATACATATAGAAAAAAATAACAAATCGTAGATTCACATGTGCCTTAAGAATTAAAAGTCAATCTACTGAGAGGTGTACTTGTTTTGTTAATAATAATGATATTTATTTGCAAAACGTAACAGTAAAAAAGCTATGTCGTGCATTCTCTTCCCCCCCTCTCTCTCTCATTTCTTTTTCCTGTTCTTGCTATTTATTTACATATATAAAAAAGTAGTTTCTAGAGAGTTGCTACTAGAAAGACATTGCTACCAGAGGATTATCTACTCGCCTGGTTGTCTTTGCATGCACGGGATGTGCGCCAAATCAGCGATGCGGTTGTCCATATCTACTTAAGAAAAACCATTTTGCTATTAAGATTTCGTTCCTGAAGCGCTACTTTGTAGCCACAATCAACTGAATGCAGAAGATAGACACGATCTCTAAAGTCGCTTTCTGACATGTTTAT